CTATTAGTACTTTTCTCTGTCTAGCAAGAAGAACCTCCTTGTGGTGAGTTCAGGAGTTTGAATCTTAGACCTTTTGTAACTACTAAGGGAGAGGAGCTACCATGGATTTTGAACTAAGGCAATGGGTTAAAGTTTACATCAATAGGAAAATTAGGGGCTTTCGTTTCTCATTTTTGCATTGACTATTAAGTTATTTTAATTTCTTTCATTCCCTTTTCTACCTTAAATTGGTTGAAGTGCTCTACACAAAGCTGAAAGTGATCCAAAAAACCATGTAGGTAGAAGACCTTACTTCCAAATCCCGATATCTTGAAGCTGAACTGCAAAGAACATCAAAGAAATTGGAGGAGGTATCTGCAATAGCTGCAGATGAAGCTGAAAAATGCAAATCTGCAAAGGAAGTTATTAAGTCTCTGACTGCTCAGGTTGGACTGTTAAATATTCTGCTTTTTGTGATTTTAGCCCTATAACTGCGATTTATATACTCAATTGGGAGCAAAGTGCCTCACATGGAATTGGCTGGGACTGACCAGTACCATGCATACAATTTTATATTATCAATGTGATATTTTCCTATAATAAGCTAATTTGAAGCAAGCATAGTCGTCCAACTAGTTATACATTAATAAAGACGCAGTATATTACTCCCCAGAAGGGGTTTCCATTTCAATATTGTGAAGATCTTGAGTTTTCAGACTTGAACTCAATATGTGATGGATCCTAAAAAGAATAACCTGAGAGCAAGTTAACTTATTAAGGATAGACACCATTTGATCTACATCATCATGTTGTAAACTTTTAAAAATTTCATGTGTTTTTATGTGGTGCAGAAGACATGTTGTTAAACTTATTGCTTCACTTGAAAAATATTTGTTGATGGGTTTAATTGAGACATTTGTAGATGCATTCACATTTGAATATGAAAAGGCATAAATTGCTTGCAATGGACATGAAAGATTCTCAATCCAGTCTCCAATTCAGGCATTTCTATGCTAATGTGTCATATATGTAAGAGAATCTACGTATATTGTCTAACTGCAAAGTGGATTCTTGATGTCAATCAGGAAAAATGTTCGTAAAACTTATGATTAATGATAAAACTTATGATTGTGATACGTATAAAACGAATTCCCAACTTCAGGATTATTTTTTAAATATGTTGTCTCAACTTTTTCCTCACTCTTTTTATTTGGTTGTTGGGGCGTGGGGTTGCAACTATGCTATGCTATTTATTAACTATTTTCTGATGTTGTGAATGATTTTACTTCTCAAACAGTTGAAGGACATGGCTGAAAGAATGCCAGAAGGACAGATCGGCGGCTGCAATTCAGGTTCTATGGCTGGCCATGCAATCAATTTTGCAGACCAGTTATCCAAAGAGAGCCATCGGACAAACATAACTACTCCAGACTTGTCCAATGGCAATTCAATGGATCGAATCTTAGCTAATGGAACTAAAGGACAAACTGGAAAGGCAGAGCGGGTGCTACAAGATGAGCCTGGTGTATATATAACTTTATGCTCCTTGCCAGATGGTGGTAATGAACTCAGACGTGTTCGCTTCAGGTATATATCTCTCCCCCTCCCCGCTTTCCCTTCCGCACCATTATTTTTCAAAGTATCCAAATACAACCAAGTTAACATCTATCTTAGCAGAGAGATGGTGGGATTAATCTTGTGTGCTGAAAATTCAAATGTTGTTCTACAGTCGGAGACATTTCACTGAAGAAGCAGCAGAGAGATGGTGGGCTGAAAATGGGGCCAAGTTATGTGAGCGGCATAATATAAAAAGTGCAGAGTAATAATATGCTGTCAGCTCTCCAGTAGCAAACATCCCATCATCCTCTTCCTCTCCACTGGAATGTGTAAATTTGTTTACCCCTAAATCATTCCCTGGGGTTCGATCAAAGTATTTGGAGTCAGAATTCGCAGGTAGACTGAGGTATTAGAATGTGAAAAACTGTAGGGGATGGTTTTCCAAAAATTGGAAAAAGATAAATCCATAAGATGAAAGACGTTTTCAGGAATCTGCAGTTAATGCTGTTCTTTTTGTCTTCATGTTTTTCTTTTTAAGGCCTTTTATGTGTGTTTTTGCTGGTACTCCCGTCTGTAATTGATGGAAACCAACCAGAATTCTCACGTTAAATCCAATGGAGCCCAACCTAAGTCGTTAAGAAGCTTACAAGCTGATACCATGAAACTATGATTCAAATTTTGTACCAAAATTGTTACATCAAAATCTATTTTTTTGTTTGAAAGGTTTGTTACATCAAGTTATTAATACAGTTCTCGAACATACGAAAACCAATATATGAATATATACCAGGTCATTTGCTGACTTTTATTTTTTCAACCTTGACTATCCATCTCAATTGTGCTACGTCCAGCTTCTTTTATCAGGTTTTCTTCTTTTCGAACTTGCCTGAATTTCTCTCCTCTCACCATCTTTTCATCCTCCCTTTCCTGTGTTCTCGTTTGATCTGGCAACCTTCCAGCAATCGCATAAGTACTTGATAATAGCATTGAATTGGTGGGATGATCATCATTAAGTTGTATTAACACTCTCTTTACAGTTTCCCCAAGAGAAACGTACCCATAAACCCTGCAAGCTGAAAGCAATGCACGCCATGCCGTAACGTCACTCTTGATGGGCAAGCTTTCAATTAGTGTATGTGCTTCCTCCAGCAATCCTGAACGACCCAAAAGATCTACCATACAACCGTAGTGTTCAACTTTTGGCACAAATCCATACTTGCAAACCATTATCTCAAAACATCTAACTCCCTCTGTCACCAGCCCTCCATGGCTGCAAGCACTTAACACTGCCAAGAAAGTGACTTCATTAGGTTGGCACCCCTCCTCTTCCATTCTATGAAACAGCCTTATGGCATTGCCTGCCTGCCCATGAACACCATAACCTGAAATCATGGCTGTCCATGATTTCACATCTTTGCTTTCCATGCTTTCAAAGATGTCAAGTGCCTTCTCCAAAAACCCACATTTAGCATACATATCAACCAGAGCTGTTCCAAGAACCGCATCCAAAACCAAGTTCTCTTCTTCCACATAATCCTTAATGCAACTCCCTACACTTACAGACCCAGAAGCAGCACAAGCCGAAAGCAGTCCTGCCAGTGTAGATGAATTGGGTTTCATTCTTTCAAGCCTCATCAACCGCAACAAAGCTACTGCATCTTGTACCAGGCCACATTTTGCATACTTATCCACCAAACAATTCCATAATACAACATCCTTCACAGCAACTCCATCGAAAATCCGACGTCCTAAATCAATTTGCCCATTCTTTGCATGCATATCAATCAAAGCAGTAAGCACATGTAAATCCGAACAAAAGCCAATCTTGATGCAGTACCCATGAAGAGACTCTCCTCCAAGGTAACTTCCTAAATCACCAATGGCAGACAAAAGGTTCAAAACGGTGGTAACACTAGCTTCAAAACCGCTCCTACACATTTGCTTGAACAAATCTACAATCACTTGAGGCTGAGACACATGAAGATAACCACCCATCAAAGTATTCCATGAAATCAAGTCATTTCCTTGAGGAAACTCATCAAACAACTTATGTGCATCTTCCATTTTCCTAGAAATACAGTAAAAATGCAAAAGGGTATTCTTTACATTGACAAACATCCCATGCCCAGACCTCACAACAATCCCATGAATCCCTTGACCGGTCCCAATGGCCAGTTCACGAGCGCAAGCTTTGAGCG